GCGGAGGAAAAAGAGCAAGGAGCAATGGTATATCTGCCCACCACCTGCTATTTTTAGATTGGCTAGGAACCACTATTTGGCTGCCGTTGCCCATCTCATTTGGCAACTCTTAAGCCTGCATCATTTAGAAAATATAAGAAGCTTAGAAGGTGGGAAACTGAATTTCTTTGATTTTTCAGATATCATTGATGAAAAAACACCATCACAAGCAACTTAAAGGACATTGGCTGTAAGTAAACAGTAAGTATTTTTATTTGATGAGATGAGCTTATGAAACACAAAAGATATGATGTATTATTTCCACCTTTCTGCCTTAATATGGGGTGAGAAATGGATGAACCTTCTGTCCTGGTTTGATTTTTACTCATTATCAAGAGAAATATTGATTTTAGAAAAAGATACAGATACTGTGCATTCACACACATACAAATACATATATGCTTATACGTTTTTATGGCTTTTTAGAATAAATCCTTGGAAAAGAAAGGGAAACAATATGAATGTCAAGGAAAGAAGCACAAAAAAATCCTGGAAATGACAGTTTTTAAAATTAATGTACTGCGATGAATTGAAAGCTAAAAAAATAGAAAGCAAATAGAGAAATCGAATTTTCCATTTATTTGGATAAAGGGACATAATATTATACCCATGGATCCGTTTTAAATGAGCATACATGTGGACATTCCACAGACAACAAAATTAACTTATTTTATCTATAGTTTCTATACAGGGCTCTAAAACATTTCTGTTGTTGGGTATTTATTGAAAGCTCTTTAAAAAATCAGGTTATGAGAAGCTTCACAGACAAAAAAAGGCTAAGGGAGTTCATCACCACCAAGCCAGCAATGCAAGAAATGCTAAAGGGACTGGTGTAAAAAGAAGAAATAAAAAGCCCAGAAAGAAAACAGCCACACAAAAAAAGAAATGGCTACAAACAAGTACCTTTCAATAATAACTTTAAACGTAAATGGACTAAATGGTCCAATCAAAAGACATCGAGTGGCTGAATGGATAAAAAAACATGACCCATACATTTGCTGTCTACAAGAGACCCACCTCATTAAAAGGGACTCACACAGACTGAAAGTGAAGGGATGGAAAAATATCTTTCAGGCAAATGGAAATGAAAAAAAAGCTGGGGTAGCAATACTTATATCCGACAAACATGTAATTCTTTGTAATAATTTAAGCAATAAAAATATATATTTAAAAAATCAGGTTATGTATGCTATGTAGTTTTTCTTTTGCCTATATAATTTTATTAGCATCCTATACTAACTTTCCTTTAACTGTTAAACTTTTCTTTAATTGTTAAATTATTATTTTCCTGTAACTGAAGAATTTTATTACATGAGTTAACAAATGTTAAGTGCTCAATAAATGTTTTCTATTATTATAATTGTATTGTGTTTTCAATATGTGTATAAATTTTAGTGAAATTATATTAGAAAATTCACGTAAGAGCAGTCCTATTGTAAGCCATTAATTGTTTTACATAACTGCACATTTAAGATGAAATTCACTTTCTCATAGCTGTTCCAAAGTTGATATTTTCCTCCGTGTTCAAAAGAGTTTGAGAAAAATTTACATTGTAAGCTTGGTCTTACGTCTAGTAGTAATGTAAAATAATTTTGTCTTCTAGGAAGAGCTGTGGATATATTGTTCTATTTAAATTTGTGATTATGAAATAAGTAGTATATGAAAGAAAATCCATTTACAATTTAGAAATAAAAATATCTTAGAGTTCTAACTTACTTGTAAAGAAAGTTCAGGGAGCATTTGTAAAGTGCTTTATTGTTTGCACAGGACCTTTGCATACTTAATCATTTGATCCTCACGATCACCCTGAGGTAAATAGTAGCATTCCTTTTTACAGATGAGAAAACTAAGGTCCACAGAGGTCACAATTTGCCTGTGACAGAGCCAGACTTTCAACAAGAGACCTGACCACTGGATAGGATTCTAGAGAAAAGATGCCTACACAGGAAGGAATCATGTAAAGATCCCATGAGGTTCTTTTGAATCCCCATTTCTGTGATTTCTGTAGTTTTAGGTAGAAGCAGCATGGTGTAGTGGGAAACACATGAGAAGACCTGGATTTACTACATCCTGTCCGTGAGCACGTAATTCAGCCTTTCTGAACCTCATTTCCTCATCTGTGAAACAGGATAACATTTTAATAACTTGCAGTGTTATTGAAACGAAATGAGACAATTTAGAAAAGAGCCAGGCACTTAACTGTTCAACTGTAGAGGTAATATTAATGTGTATAAAATCCAAATACAGTAATCCTCCCAACATAACACAGTTCCCACATAACTCATAAGAGCCCTATCTTTAAAGACGAGTATAGTGCTACTAATCAGTAACTTTTTGTGAATGAGGAAAATGAATGAATTTGCTGAAGCTGTTAAAGCAGAGAAGGGAATTGCATAGAATGAAACCCATAGATACATTTTGAAGTGGAAACCAAAATCACAATGAAAAGTAATACAGATGAATGGAAGAACACAACAGGAGTAAGAAATAGCCCACACCATAGCTCAGTAGGAGAGATTGTGAGAATCACTTGGCTAAATGCTGGGCAACTGTTTCAGGACCAATAGTGTATCAGAGAAGCTGGGTTCCGGGGAATGGAATGGCTCACATGGGACCCAGGCTTTATAACCTGATAGACCTAGGTTAAACTTTTGGCTGTGCTAATTGCTAGCTGTTTGACCTTGGACAAGTTATTTGATGTCCCATGTCTACTTTGTAAAAGGAGGATGATAAATCCTAACTCATGGAGTTATTTCAAAGATTAAATAAGATATATAGGTGAAGTGTTTACTTGTATTGCCTCCTCCCCTGCCAACAAAAATATAAGATCTGTGTGGGCAGGACCTTCGTTTACCTGTTATGTACATATAACAGTAGACAACTTAAATATTTGTTGAATAACTGAACAGGTAAACTTGTCAAAGTGTGTGTGTGTGTGTGTGTGTGTGTGTGTGTGTGTGTGTGTGTGTTTGTGTGTATTCCCATATGCCTCACTAAATGATGTGAGGAAAATACTCCAAAGCTGCAGTGGCATTTATAAGATTTTTATCATTGTCAATCCTTGTGTAAATTTCTATTACATTTATTGTTCAGCCACTCAAGTAATATTTAATCACATCCTGTTTTTAAATGATTTTTAAATTTTATTTTATTGTTGACAGTATTATAGATGTCTCCCCTTCTCCTCCCCCCCTCCTTCTGCCCAGCCCCTACTCTATCCTCTCACCCCAGGTCTTCATTCTATTGTTCATGTCCATGACTATGTACATCTATACTAATAAAAGGGTAATATGCAAATGGTCTTGATGCCATAACGACCGATCAGCAGGAGGCTGCGTGCGCAGCAGGCGCAGGTGGGCAGGGCTGTGTGCACGGCGAGGCCGGGGGACATGAGGCTGCATACCCCGTCTGGTGCCAGCCAGGGATGTGACACTGTTATTGTTTACTTATTAATAAATTTATATATTATTTTCATACACATTTTACTAATTTTCTTTTATCTCTGACACTTGTATTATAGAGAAAGGGCAAATAGCAATATTAAAATGTTTCCTCTAATTAATTCCCTTTTAATGTGCATGAATTTCATGCACTGGGCCACTAGTAAGTATATAAGTTCTTTGGTTTAGCTCTCCTTGTTCCCCTATCTCCACATGGAGGTATGTCAGTCTGTTCTATGCCTCCATGCTTCAGGTCTTATTTTGTTTGTCAATTTGTTTTGTTCATTAGATTCCACAGATAAAAGAGATCATGTGATATTTGTCTTTCTCAGATTGGCTTATTTCACTTAGCATAATAGTCTCCAGGTCCCATCCATGCTACCCAAAGGGTAAGAGAGCCCTCTTTTTTACAGATGTATAGTATTCCATCGTGTATATGTCCTGCAGCCTTTTTAAAAATCAATTCATCCACTAATGGGCACTTGGGCTGTTTCCAAATCTTAGTATTGTAAATAATGCTGCTATGAACATAGGGGTACATATATATTCCCAGAAGTGGAATCGCAGGGACAAACAGAAGTTCCATATTTAATTTTTTGAGGAAACTCCATAATGTTTTCCATAGTGGCTGTACCAATTTATATTCCTACCAGCAGTATACTAGGGTTCCTTTTCCCCCACATCCTCGCCAGCACTTGTTTGTTGATTTATTGATGATAACCATTCTGACAGTTGTAAGGTGATATCTCATTGTGGTTTCAATTTGCATTTCTCTGATGATTAGTGACTTTGAGCATTTTTTCATATGTCTCTTGGCCATTTGTATGTCCTCTTTGGAGAAATGTTTCTTCAGGTCCTCTGCCCATTTTTGAATTGGATTGTTTTCCTTTTGTTGAGTTGTATGAGTACTTCATATGTTTTGGAAATCAACCCCTTATCAGATGTATCATTGGCAAATATGTTTTCCCATAAAGTGGGTTTCATTTTCATTTTAATGGTGGTTTCTTTTGCTGTGCAGAAGCTTTTTATTTGGATGTAGTCCCATTTGTTTATTTTTTCCTTTGTTTCTCTGCTGCTATGAACATAGGGGTACATATATTTTTTCTGATTATTATTTAAAAAAATATATTCCAAGAAGTGGAATTGCAGGGACAAACAGAAGTTCCATATTTAATATTTTGAGGAAACTCCATAATGTTTTCCATAGTGGCTGCACCAATCTACATTCCCACCAGCAATATACTAGGAGCCACATCCTGTTTTATGTTATAATCTGTGGTTTATTTTCCTAATTGGACTGTTAAGCTCATGGAGAGAAGAGAGTGGTTTTTATCTATCATCATCCAGTCCATATGCTTACAGTATCACTAGGTTGAATTAAGAATATACACTGTGAATTATTGGGAGTTTATACTTGATAATCATGATTGGAAATGGTAGGATTTTGGCTGAAGATGAAAATGTTTTCTTCAACGGTCTTGAATAGATGAAAGTCTCAAAGACATAATGTCAATGGCCAAGAATAGGACAAAAAGATCTCTATGAGGGTGTTTATGTTCTAATCCCAGAACAGAGAATATGTATTGGTGGATATTTTGAGGTATTCTTTGACAAACATTATCTCTCTTGCTCCTGGGCCTTTGCATGTGTCTTTGCTTGGAATTTTTTCTTTATTCCCTCTTCTTCACTTGTTAATATTATTCATCTTTCAGTTTTCAGTTCAATGACACTATCTCTAAGAGGCCTCTGTGATACGAACCTAAATTGGGTAAAGTATTTCTCATCTGGGTTCCCACACTACCCTATTCTTTCCTTTTTACACTACATACAAAATTATATTGTAACTAGAGGCCTAATGCACGAAGATTTGTGCAAGAATAGGCCTTCCTTCCCCTGGCTGCCGGCACCGGCTTCCCTCTGGCACCCAGGACCTCGCTGCTTTGCTAGCTGCTGCTACCACCCACGGGGACCCGGGATGCTTTGCTCCAGCCACCACCAGGCATCTGGGACGGGGCTGCTTCGCTCTGGCTGCTGCTGCCACCCACCAGGGGCGTGCTCCGAGCTGCGCAGTGGCCGCTGGGAACACGCCCCCACTCCTGGTGTGTGTCCACTGGGGTGGGGGAGTGCTCCGAGCTGCACCGTGGCTGCTTGGAGTACGCCCCCACCCCTGGTGTGTGTCCGCTGGGGCTGGGGCGGCATGCAGTCCCCTCCCGCCCGTCTGCAAGGGCAGCTCCGCCTGAGCGGTTGTGACGCCTGGCTAATTTGCATATTACCTGTTTATACATATAGGTATTCTGTTTATTTGTGTGTGTCTCCTACTACATGATAAGTCCATGATGGTAGTTTTATATGTCTTACCATCATACCCTAGCATGTTGCCTATTACTCAATAAATATTTTTTGAATAAATGAATGAAAAATGACTAAAGGAAAGGAAAAAATCTTCAATATAATAGCTGTTTTATTGAATGTCTGTTATTAACTTTACATAAGTTAATATTTAATCCTTGCAACCATCCAGATGGGGCAATTGAGTTCAGAGAACTTGACTTGGTCAAAGTGATACTGTTGAAACTTGAATCAGGATTTCTCTGTTCTTTCCACTTGGTAATGTTGCCTCTATCATAACTTACATGTGTATAAATTGTTATAAGCTATGAAACTTTTTTACTCCTTATGACAGCCATTGAAGCTAGGCTTTATCTCCAGTAAGTGACAAGATCATGATGTTCAAATTAGATAATCTGGATCCAAGTTCATTCCTTTTCCACGATAACACGGCAATCCCATTCTGGAGGATGAAAAGGTGTGAGGCCAAAACAAAAATTGTGAGATAATAAAAGTTTAAAAAGTGATAAGAAGTTTTTGATTCATTAATAATAGAAACAATTCCAGCTAGATGTAGTTTAGCAGGCCTGGAATAAATTCTGTATTTTCTTTGCCATTTTTTCCAAGAAAAGAACAATTAATAATGTTGGGAATAATTGCTGTTAAAACCGTCGAGTTCTTCCTTCTCTTTGCTATCTGATCCTTTTCTGGCCTCGTATTGCTATGAGCTCAGAATTCATAGGATCCCTACAGAGGAGACCATTGCTGAAGGGTGGATATGATGCAGCTCCTTCCTCCCATTAGCCTTCCTTCTGGAGCAGTTTGTTTTGCACTTACTCCTCACATCATGGCTTCTGGTAGGAAGAAGCTTAGTGGGTTTGCCCAAGGTCATTGACTTTGGCCACTCTTGGCCTATGACTCTTCTGTGCTCCTTACCCTTCCACCAGGAATTACTTCTGTTGAGAAGTAAGGAGTGAGAATGGAGTATTGGGGAGAGTCCTGTTTTTGACTGAAACATGCAGAGGCTCAGAACCAAGGGAAGCAGATCTCCACGACACCATCCCAAAACTCGAGAAGTTTCCCATACATGCAGAGAAAAAGAAAATTTAGTGTGAAAAGGAATTCAAGCTTATTGTTTTAGTCCTGCTTGAGTGTTTGGCAGCTGCTCTGGTACATTTAAGCCAATGGACTGTAGGGCAGTGCATATGCAAAATCTCAGAAGGGAAAGAATTTTATTATAATCTCTTAACAGAATGTTAGATTTAAATGAGAGACTTTGAAACCAATTGCAAGTTTGAAAATAAATTGCTCTAGAACAATTATAATCCTAACATATATCTTGATTATTGGCTACTTTGTTCTGCCCTGTGCTGTTTGGTAAATGTTTGATGAAGCCACAGTTTGCTATTTACTTTTCT